GTGAAGAAGCGAGAAAGTTTGCCTTTGAACACAGTTCATCGTGATGGAGTGGTTGAGGATGTTTCGAGATACTGAAATTAAAAAGCAGCGGGGAGAGAACCCAACCCTATGGAACTCCGTTATTAATTATCCCCGCCTTTAATGTTGTGTCTCGAACGAATATCGACAACTCAGATAATTCGCTGACTACCCTTTGAGTTTCTTGTCGGAAAAAGGAAGCCCTAAAATTTTCTAGGAGCATGGCAGACGGTATCAAACGGCTTTGACGATCCAACGCTTGCAGGACCGTTCTTTCACATGGGCGGTTAAGGCCGCGGATGCTGATGATCCGCAGGAGTAAGATGATACGTGCATTGGGAGAGTAGCAAGACCTCTAGTGTCTTCGCTACAGGAGAAATGAGACTTATCGGCAGATAAGGATCTCCTTTGTTGGTGGGGTTTTTTAGAAGTGGAATCATTCTTCCTGATTTCCATGCATCGGTAATGATGAGAGTGGAGATTATTTAATGAGGACCTTGTACTCCCGCGGTACAAAATTTTTTCACCATCAGCCTGCATATTCCGTCGGGACCAATTGCTTTGGAGGCTTTCGCCTTACCGATGGCCACCACTGGTTAAAACTAGAGGCGCACTCTTGGCAGTTTGTGCAGCCTTCTCGCTCTGTCCACCGGTGGATGCAAAGTGAACTGCCGGCTAAAATAGCGCGCGCATCGGTCCGACTCCGAAGAGGTATGATTACCGAATGAGATCTGAAATCTGCCATCGCGCTTCACCGGGTTGGACCAAACCTTGCTCACAACAGAGGCAAAGTTGCAAATCTTCAGGTGCTGCTTCCACTTCTTCCGCTTTTGTTGGTTGGTTGGTGATTTCCGGAAACAGCCTAGCAAAGTTAGTCGCGCTCGTCCGCTAGAATAGCTGCTTCGGCTGGATAATTTGGGCTAGTTTCCGCCAGGTGTCCAGCGGGCCGTCGCAAAGCTGCAGTGACAGCTTTGTGGAATATGCGTTCGTCTACATGAATGTAATCATCAGTCATTATTCTCCGTTACTAGTCATAGGTTATTGGGCTCATTAGTAATAAGTCATAAGTGGTTGGTTATGAATCAGTCATCATTAGTCAGAAGCGTTGACCATTGGTCTTTAGTCCTTAGTGACTATTCGTTACGCGTTATTCATTTGTCATTATTATATTCATCATTCTTGCACATTAATCCATCAGCATAATGACTTAATTCCTCGAAAAATGCTTACCGAATACTATACAAAAGCAACAATAACCGAAAAAGCGAATTCTCATAACACCCGCAAAGCTGATAACGTGAAAACCGCAAAGTTAAAAAGCAAAAGTCAACAAATATTAAAATGAAATGTCCTTTCAGAGGATGGGTAAGGAAATTTTCTCTTTCATAAAATCCATTGTGCGGGGAACAAACGATGACAAAGCATTAAGCGAAAGGAAAGCCGAATAACAAGGGTCAGAAGAAAAGAATATGAAATGAAATGAAATGGCCAAGAGGAGGAAGAATAAGAAGAGGTGTGCACAACAAAATTTGAAATGTTATAAACAAAACTTTTTTTTTCCACACAGAAAAGATTACATTTTCTCGCCGTTTTTCCTACGTAGCCTAACAAATGCAGCATACAACTTTTAACGTTGAAATTGTGGTAAGCCTAACTGAGATGAAGCTTGTGGCAAAGAACAAAAGGAATACCAAAAGACATGATGTCAAAGAAAAATCTACATAAATTTTTGCATGTAAACAAATGTAGAAAAAGGACACAAAAAGCCTGCACTACTATGGAGGACAAAAAGATTTAACAGAGAAAAGAAAGTAAAATAAGCAGCGGACGAGGAAAAACTTGTGTGCGTACATGGGTACACAAGGAAATACAAACATGCAAACACTCATATTTGATAAAAAAAACACACTCACACACAAATAAATCTTGTATTCTTACTTGTGCCCTACACATGTACTGTACTGCCGTTAGGATGACTCGGTCCTACACTACGTATACGTGATAATGTTGCCAAGCAACAAAATGCACGCGACAATAACGACTCAATACGTACAGTGTGCGAATTATGGTTATCTAAATGTAGTTAAATTTACAACTAACTTAAAATTTTTAAGAACAATATTGAGACAATTTCAAATATGATACAATTTTATGTGGCAAGTAAATTCGAGTAATTAATTAGATCAGAAGAATATATTAAAAATTTAAGTTGAATTTTTTAACAACAAATTTCATTACATACTCTTGGGAATTGTGGAACTTTTTAATTAGAATCTTTACACTCAAATCCAGAAAATCTAAAATTGTTGGATATTTTTTGTCTTAGAAAATCTTCTATTAAAAATTCTGTGCTTTTTGGAAACTGATTAGTTTCCCTAATAAACCACAACAAACCTGTGGTACCAGGGTTCGATCTTTGGCCCGAGCAACATCCAAAAAATTTTGTTTTCCAAATCGATTTCCTTTAAAATGTTTTGTAAAAAAAACTGTCTTCCATTGTGCAATATTTAACCCATGTCCGATAATGGTATCGATTTTTTTCGAGTTCTTAAATGAATGAAAATCTAAAAAATGCTGTGCCACTCAACGCCAAGAACTCAGAAATCATCATCATCAATCCAAATCATTGTTATCGTTTTCCTTGATGTTTGAACAAACAGTTGGATACTGGTAAGTACATGGCGTATGAGCAACATTTTTTCCTGCTCACATTTCATCAAAAAAAAAATCTTTGAATTTACCAACTGATTACGAGAAAGTGCCGGGGGCGTAGTACTTCCATTTGCAATTGTGTAGAGAATTTCTACACAGTTAGGCCCACTTGCAGAACAGCAGGTTATCTACTTAACTCAAAGTTTACCAGTTAAATTGATAAATTGGCTTGCAAAATCAGTGGTTAGGAGTAAAACTATAGTTAAATTGTTAAATATTTAGCCCAGAAAATTTCGAAGGTTAACTTGCTAACTCTACATACATACATATGTCAATTCTGTCAGTAACAAGAAAAAATAAATTGAGATTTAAAAAATATTTTTTAAAACATATGTACATACATACATACATACATACATGCATATTCACGTATTCATATTTACGCCTTCAGCTCTGAGGTTTCAGAAAGTCTAGCGTAAAAACTATATACGGTTAAAATGCACCACCCGTGTTGGTAGTCCATCCAATTCCAACTCCCAGAAGTGCCGTTGGCCAATTTACAGTTTGTACCTATGTATGTAGTATGTATGTACATATTTAAGTGTTTGAAATTTCATATTCAAATTCTAATAAGAAATGTAAACAAACGAGAGAGTGGTGCCTACTTAATTTAGAAATCGCTCGGGTTACTTAACTCTGGGCCAATTTTCAATGCTGCAAGACATTGTCTGGTTTAGTCTGGTTTAGGAATATAACAATTTAACTCTGAGCTATTTAACTCTCTATTTATATATTTAACTCTGGATGTTCTGCAAGTGGGCCTTAGAGTTCTTAGTTTTCAGTTGTACAAAATTGGTTAGTTTTTTATGACATTAAAAATTCTAAAAAAAAAAATAGTTCCCATTTTCATCCCATTATCGGGCTAGGCATAAAATTTGCGGAATGAGCGACAATTTTTTTTATAAAAAATTTTAAGAAAATCAATCACAACGTGTTTTTTGGGAAATTAAGAATTTGTAAGATTTTTAGAAATACAGGCTTGAAAATTTGTTCGATTAAAAATTAAAGTTCGGCCCATTTTTCGCAAAGTTATGGGCATTAAAAAGGTAACGATTTTTCTCAAACATCGATATCTCCAAAATTTATTAATATCGATAACAATGTTTACCGAATTCAATAATAACGTCATTAAATGCTTAAAAAATAGCATACGTATTCTTCTTCTATGCGTATATTATCGCGAACGCGCATGAACTAAATCTTTTTATGTGTGGAAGAAATCGTCAGACGCCCTCAACAAAATAATTCTCAAAACTCAACGGTAAATTTTTGGCGACTTGAAACATGCATTTTATCTTACTAAAATTTAGTTTGCTACAAAACTTCCTACTTAAAATTTTCTAAGAAATCGAATTTAAATTATCGAGAAATTTTTTTTTTGTATTGCTTGCATTTTCCCGAGTTCTGTATAAATTAAAAAAAAAAACTGATTCTTGTGGTTTTTGCTGCTCAATTACCATATTTTTATAAAAAAAAAAGAAAAATAAAATGTGCAAATAAAATCGTAAAAACGTAAGCATATTTTTTACACTGACTGTATATACAATTGCTCGCTCGCAAGGTTAAAAAGGCACAAGACCAGGAGATCATTTTAGGTACCTTTCCAGACGTATTCTCACTTCACAGCGTTCAAAGATTCTCAGAGTTAAGTGCAATAAATTTTGAGCAAATACGAGTATAATAACGTCACATATGTATTTATAACTTCTAGTTCGATCATATAACACTCGTAGCTGCTCATACCACTCTAACCAACTCCGGCAATGGTTTTTTAATAAACTTTAATCAAAAATTCTTAAAATTCATAAAATTCTAAATCCAATACATCCCACTGTGCAGCTTAGCTTATCCTCGTTACGGTTCGCAACTGACAGATGAAAGTACATAAAAAAGCATACACACGAAATAAATAAAAGAAAAAAGGCGTTGAAAAGAAAACAAAAACTTAAGCAGAGCTACGTCACTGCTAGGCAAAACGCGAACAAATATATGCCGAAAACGTATAAAAAAAAAGACTAAAGAAAAGTCAGAAGGCCAAAAGGACACGCCAAGGCCGCTTATAAAAGAGCAAAGATTTTTCACTCCCTGCACGTATTTTGGGACTAAATGCGTGACACTAAGAAAAATCATCTATTTACTTTGAACCCAGCCCAAGGTTATATAAGTTTGATATTTTCAAAAAAAAAAAAAAATGCAGCACAAATAAACTAAATTTCAAAACACCTAGTTAAGTATTAGTGTCGTAGAAAAAGTGTATGTATGCAACTCACCTGTAATTTATATGCTGAACGATTTTGACAGCTGCCGCTACCCGGAGAGGTTTATTGCTATGGCATTTATGTATGTATGTGTGCGCTGAAACAAGTTGAATGAGGTCAGTTATCAGCGACAGCGCTTCATTTGCCGAAATTATTTGCCGTAGATTATTACTGGATTATTATTTTAGTGCCTTTGATTAAATACGCATAGATTTGGCTTTTGTTACAAACACTTCGATTTTTATCAATTATTTAAATTATTTTTTTCTCGCATAATTCGCTTGCACCACTACACTTGCACTTTTTACAATCACGATTTTTGGCACACAATTTTTTTTTCCCTTCAGCCGATTTCGCTGTATACATTCATTTATTGTATTTTATACTTATTATTCTATTTTTTTTTTCCAAACTCATTTGCACGCACAACAAATCTTTTTCATATACCCTCACCGCTTCAACGTAGTATGTGCTACTAATTCGCACGAAGCAATTGAACTTTTTGCAAAGTCGGTATTCGCTGGCTTCGCAGTTAGCGTTGCTTTTGCCGCCGCCCAGACGCTGCTTCCTTCCTTGCCACACAGCGTTATTTTGTAATCGCAATAACTCTCTGATTTGCGGCTGTAAATTCACAGGCAGCAAGCTGGCGGACTGGTCGACCTAGCTGGCTGCTAATGAAGCTGTTATATGGCATAACATTTATCTCTTAACTGACTAGTCAATTGCTCTTTTCTAGTATAAAGCTACTAACAGAACATCCTATTTCAATTGTGAGCAGCAGATTTTTGCATAAAAATCACGCAATTGTGCGCAGAGAAATCAAAAAAGGAACTAACTACAAAGTTTGCGTGTGCGAATGTTTGTAGAGGGAAATGTCGCGCATAGAGCAGCTATTTGGAAAATTTCCCGTTT